GCGCCCGCAGGCCCTCCCGGGACCGGTCGCAGCCCCGCTCCCCGGCGCTCCTCCACGTGCGGCTGCCTCGGGTGGGCCAAGTTAGGAACCGATTCAAGTGTGTTCGCGCGGTCAGTACGGCGTGTGTGGTATCGGGCTTGAAGCAATGAAAATAAGGAAGTTAAATAGGGCCTCCTGCCCCTTTTCTAACACGGGGATTTGGGACGTCTTTTTGGAGTTTTCGTGGGTTTTTTTCCTCACGATGAACCTCCCCCGTGAATGAAATGCATTAGGTGTGTCCACGTGTGATTTTTGCACTGATTGTGAATGTCTCGCAGGCCCATCCAAGCCAGATTGCTGGCCCTTTCTGGTCCTGGTGGAGGTAGAGGACGTGGTAGTTTACTGCTGAGGTAAGATTTCCTTTGGACTTCATTCATATGCTAAGACTTAACGGGTGCTTTTTCCGCTACACGAACATGTCTTTCTAAGCAAAATTCGTGGTGGGACCAGTGTTAGAAATGTCTGTGTTTAAAGCTGTCATCAGCCGTAGTTTCTTCACGGCTACCTTGTAACTTCATTTATAGGCAAAAACTGGAGCTTGCAGAATATGTTAACTGTACCAGTTTTGTGTAAACTTGATTTGTTCTGGTTGGTTTTTTAAAAAATGCTATGAAAGTATCTTGGAGTGAGTGCCCGTTTAACGTTGCTGGGTTTGGAAGGATACTTAAAAACGTGAATTCTCTTGCTAAATGGTGGTATCATTTGTCTTAAATTTCAAGTGCTTTCTGATGGACATTTTTAATTGCAGGCGTGGATTCTCAGATAGTGGAGGAGGACCCCCAGCCAAACAGAGAGACCTTGAAGGGGCAGTCAGTAGGTATGCTGGAAAATTGAAGAAAGATTCTGAAGGCATAGTTGTGTTACCTTTTCTGAGGTAGCATACAAATGTAAATATGTAGTAAATACTGTTTGTCGATGAAATAATAACCAGCCTATAGAAAAGTTTCATAAGAGTTTATTTGAGCTTTGAGTATATGCCCAGAAAGCAAAATCTCAACGGATGGAGAAAATGCTTGGGAGAGGGGCAGTTTTGCTACTTATTTTATACATTACAATAAAGGGAGGAGATGTAAGGAGGGATGTGGAACCCATTGGTGATAAAGGAGGCTGGAGAAAGCAAAGCAGGGAAATCTCTGGGATTGGTTAAAAAGCAAAATGGAGAGACACGTTATTTTACATTGGTGGATACAGGATGGCTAATTAACATTATAGTGCATAGAGATGGTTTGTGGGAACAAGACAGCAGTAACAACGAGGTATTGGGCTGTGCAGCCTGCAGTTTTGCCTTGGAGGGGTCTAGAAAAGAATTACTTTGTCACTTGAAAGGTAAGTTATCCTAGGTGCTTACCAGCAATGGACAGAGATCACTTGAGATAAAGATTGACCTTTGCTAAGGAAGCTATAGGGCCTGGGACAGCCATTGCCTGCACAGATAGGAATTTATAATTAGACCATCCTGTGCGGTTGGTTACTTTTGGTCACTGAGACACGCAGTTTCACTCAAAACTCAGTTTTTCGCTAATGATAATAAATATTCCCAAAATAAAGGTTATGAGACAAATAAGATTGAGAACATACTGAATATGTGCCACTTTTCTGTCTCATACTGCAAAAACAGCCAGTTTGAGAAGGAAAGGAGATCAGAGTCTGGATTGGGCAGTGATGTTATATTTTATTCTTCCCCTATTAGAGGAAAAAGTAAAATGGGATGGGGACTGATAGAATGAGGTTTCTGAAAAAGTCCTAGAAAAAGTAATCATTTACTCTAGGTATGCACTTAAGTCAAATTCTGTAGTGGTCATTTAAATTATTTTTCCTATGACAGGCTGGGCGGGGAGCGTCGGACAAGGAGAGAATCACGCCAAGAAAGCGACCCAGAGGATGATGATGTTAAAAAGGTAATTGAGATTAAAAGAACTTCTTAGAGGATGAATTAGTATTTTCATCTTACAACACTTTAAAGAGTACCACCCATATGCTTGTTAAGTCACTGAGATTTTCTTTTCTATTGTAGCCAGCTTTGCAGTCTTCAGTTGTAGCTACCTCCAAAGAGCGTACACGGAGAGACCTTATCCAGGATCAAAATATGGATGAAAAAGGAAAGCAAAGGTAACTTTTGTGACTTCAGGTGGGGGGTGGGGAGCTTTTCAAATAATGCAATTTTAAGAAAATTTAAGCGTTTGTCCAAGTGGCTATAGTATGTTTCTTTTTAGGAAATGGCAGGTTTAAATGAAGTGGAGTTTATTGAATTTAAATTTTTTTCTGTCCTTTAGGAACCGGCGAATATTTGGCTTGTTGATGGGCACCCTTCAAAAATTTAAACAGGAGTCCACTGTCGCTACTGAAAGGGTATTAATGCAATTTTTATTTACTTCCTTTACTTATATTATAAAAAGAAGTTGCTTATGTTTTTAAAAAGAGCCAAAAAGCTCTCCTAAGATTTAATTGCAAGCCTGAAATGGAGCCAAGGAAAAACATAAAACTTTTCTGGAGTTAACTTATCAACCATCAGCCAATCTTTTCTTAAGATGCTGTGAAGTAATTGAGTGAACTTCCTTGTAAAGAACTGTGGGCTGTGAGTCAGGAGAACGCAAGCTCGATAAGCTCATTTTCTTCAACAAGGAAGTTGAACTCATCATTGGTACTAGTTCAATAATTCTGATTTTTTTTTAGACTTATTTTCACACTTGGGTAGTACTTAGCACTCTAGAAGCAAAAGCATAAAAGTTTACTGCCCTTCACAGTTTATTTAAATGTGTCATCTTTCTAGAAGCTTTTATTTTGCTGAAGGTAGAAAATTGTGTCTGTAGAGTTGAGCACCCAAGTTACTGCTTCTTAGGGAAGAACTTACATTGGAAAGGGAGAAACAATTCAGTTATAGGAGATTAATAAACTTATTACAGCTTGTATGTATTAACTTTACTACAGAATATAAAAGGCAAGCATTTTAATGTGTAAATAGTAAGTATTTTTTAATAGACAGAAAGTGTGATTAGTTAATTCATTAGGATATCACGTCTGTTGGATTTTTTTTAAATTTTATTGATTTCAGAGAGGAAGGGAGAGAGAGAGAGAAACATCAGTGATGAGAGAGAATCATTGATTGGCTGCCTCCTGCACGCCCCCTTACTGGGGATCAAGCCCGCAACCCAGGCATATGCCCGAACCCGGGACCTTTTAGTCCATAGGCTGACGTTCTATCACTGAGCCAGACCAGCTAGGGCTGTTGGATTTTTTTATTCAGAAAGAATAACTGAAGACAGCCTACTTAAAAAGACTTTTTTTGTGGTTAATTTTTGAATCTTACCTAAAAGTCATTGGAATAGAAGTTACTGATATTATTGTCTAATAGCTTTAAAATTTATATTTTTACATGTGAAAACTTCAGTCTTCATTTCCTGAAAGAGATATTTCAGTCTCAAATGCTAAGAGTGCTAAGTTTGAATTAGTTGGTACTTTGAATTGCAAATGTAAATCACATATGTAGATAATTTAGTGAAATTGTTATGTTCCACATAATCTGTATGTAATGAGATCTTAAAGTTCATTATTTATCTTTAGCAAAAGAGACGCCAGGAAATTGAACAAAAACTTGAAGTGCAGGCAGAAGAGGAGAGAAAGCAGGTTGAAAATGAGAGGAGAGAACTATTTGAAGAGAGGCGTGCAAAACAGACAGAACTGCGGCTTTTGGAGCAGAAGGTTGAGCTTGCGCAGCTGGTGAGTGAGTAGTATTTTCAAATTCTAATATTGATAATCCATGTTTCAAAAGCATTGATCTTTTTACCTTTTCTTTAGCAAGAAGAATGGAATGAGCATAATGCCAAGATAATTAAATATATAAGAACTAAGACAAAGCCCCATTTGTTCTATATTCCTGGAAGAATGTGTCCAGCTACCCAAAAACTAATAGAAGAGTCACAGAGAAAAATGAATGGTAAGTGTATATAAAGAGATCCATTGAAATATTCCTAATGGATAAGGCAATACACTCATACATGCATATTTTTTTGTCTCCTATAATAGTTGATTTAAAAAAATAATATACTAATGTTTTTGAAGTATAGGAGGATCATTTATTTCATGATGTAGTTTAACCAGAAACTTTCATATTTTGTAGGTGGTGCTCAATTCATATGTATATTATGCATTTGAGTGAGATGACCTTTTTTTTGTTTGATACTTTTTAGTAGGCAGACATAAATACAATGAAGCAAGAAAAAGTGAACATAGAACATAAATGTAGCCCATAGAGGGGGAGCACACACAGAAGGGTAGATACTGCTAAGGTGATTAGATGATTTCTAAGGATCAGAAAAATTAATGCATGATGTCCCATAAAATTTATTGTTTGAAGGAAATTTTTTGTCTTTTCTACTAGCATAAAATTAAATAGCAAAAGATTGTCACATAGATAATATGATGCAACTAATTTGTTTATTTTAATCCTCACCTGAGGCTATTTTTTCCATGGAATTTTAAAGTGGAAGGGGGGAAGGGGAGGAGAGAGACAGAGAAAAACTTCAATGTTGCCTCCCTCATACAACCAACCAGCAGGGCCAGGGATCCAGCCTGCAACCCGGGTACATGCCCCTGATCAGAAATCGAACCCATGAACCTTCTATGCACAGTCCAACGCTCTAACCACTGAGCAGTGCAGGCTATAGCGATTAATTTCTTGATTTCCAGTGGGTCGTTGCTTTTGTCATTTTATGTGAATTTATAATTACTTATTTGCCATAATTAACTTTTATCATTTCCCCCTTTTTTAATCCTCACACGAGGATACTTTTCTATTGATTTTTAGAGAGAGGCAAAGAGAGAAATATCAATGTGAGAGAAACACATTGATTGGTTACCTCCTGCACATGCCCTGACTAGTGCCGGGGAGGAGCACAACAGAGAAGGCTAGGCCTAGAAGACAATCAATGAAGGAAAAAGAGCATCAGGTGGTGCGTAATGAAGAACAGAAGGCGGAACAAGAAGAGGGTAAGGTGGCTCAGCGAGAGGAAGAGTTGGAGGAGACAGGTAATCAGCACAATGATGTAGAAATAGAGGAAGCAGGAGAGGAAGAGGAAAAGGAAATAAGTATAGTTCATAGTGATGCAGAGAAAGAACAGGAGGAGGAGGAACAAAAACAGGAAATGGAGGTTAAGATGGAAGAGGAAACTGAGGTAAGGGAAAGTGAGAAGCAGCCAGATAGTCAACCTGAGGAAGTTATGGATGTGCTAGAAATGGTGGAGAGTGTCAAAAATGTAATTGCTGAGCAGGAGGTAATGGAAACCAATCAAGTTGAAAGTGTAGAACCTTCAGAAAATGAAACTAACAAGGAATTGGAGCCAGAAATGGAATTTGAAGTTGAGCCAGAGAAAGAATGTAAGTCTCTTTCTCCTTCGAAAGAGAATGCTAATGCTGTAGAAATGGAAAATGAGCCTGAGGACAAAGAAGAGAAAGAATCTGAGCCCCAACCCGAGCCTATGGCTCTGTCTCAGCCTCAGCCCCAGCCCCTGGCTCAGCCTCAGCCTCAGCTTCAATCTCAGTCCCAACCAGTACTCCAGTCCCAGCCTCTCTCTCAGCCTGAGACTTTGCCATTAGCCGTTGTGCAGTCATCACCTCAGGTTATTCAGGAGCAAGGGCATTTGCTACCTGAAAGGAAGGAGCTTCCTGTAGGATCTGTAAAAGTCACTGAGGTGACAGTAGAGCCAGTCTTGACAGTACATACGGAGAGCAAATCCAAAACCAAAACTAGAAGCAGAAGTAGAGGTCGAGCTAGAAATAAAACAAGCAAGAGTAGAAGTCGGAGCAGTAGCAGTAGTAGTTCTAGTAGCAGTTCAACCAGTAGCAGCAGTGGAAGCAGTTCCAGCAGTGGCAGTAGTAGTAGTCGAAGTAGTTCCAGTAGCAGCTCCAGTACAAGTGGCAGCAGCAGCAGAGACAGTAGCAGCAGCTCTAGTAGTAGTAGTGAGAGTAGAAGTCGGAGTAGGGGCCGGGGACATAATAGAGATAGAAAGCACAGAAGGAGCGTGGAGCGGAAGCGAAGGGATACATCAGGAGTAGAAAGGAGTCACAAATCTTCAAAAGGAGGCAGTAGTAGAGAAACAAAAGGATCAAAGGATAAGAATTCCCGGTCCGACAGAAAGAGGTCTATATCAGAGAGTAGTCGATCAGGCAAAAGATCTTCAAGAAGTGAAAGAGACCGAAAATCAGACAGGAAAGACAAGAGGCGTTAATGGAAGAAGCCAGGCTTTCTTAGCCTATTCTTTGCAGCAGAAGATTTCTTGATGAGTAAAAGGATTACCTTTCCTTGTAAGGAGGATGCTGCCTTAAGAATTGCATGTTGTAAAAATATCTTTTGGAAAATACAGACTGTTTGTTTACCAGACATTCTTGTACTTTTTGCATAATTTTGTAAGTTATTTATCAAAATTATGTGAGGTTCCAAAATATGTAAAAATAATAATAATAAAAAAAGATTAACATCCCTTGTCATCTTTTTTAAATATCCTATTCTCTTCAGTAAGAATGTGTATATTTTAATAGGTAAATCTTTAAGTCTGTTCCCTTCTAATTCTATATCATACTTTGCTTTTGTAGAAATAAATGCTCATTTCTTTAGTTTTGGGATGTTCTCGACACTTGTATAATAAATATCCTCTTGATATCATTTTCAGCTGGTATCATTAGATACCGAACATGATTAGAATGTCTTTGAAGGTTTCCAATTTTATTTGCCTTACACAATTATTTTGTGTTGTCAAAGTCAGATCTTTGCAGCTTTGGGGGGCCATAGTTCTTAAGATAATTACTATTTTTTCTAATTTCCCTTGTTATTTTTATTCCCATCTCATATTTACACCATACATTTGGTATATAAATTATATGATTAAAACAGTATGATTTGGTTGGCATTTTCTTCACAATTATGGGAACATTTTTTGTCTTCATTGTTTCTTTTGTGATGCGGCATATACATCTGTTAAAATAATCATTTCTTTCCAGGGGAGGGAGGTAGAAAAGTATATTCTAAACTTGGTTTTTTTAGTTTGTGGTCTTGTCTTAACTTTTGTGTTGGCTCTAACTGAAACATGCCAATAAGTGTTTTTCAAGAATTTTTGTTGAAGTATTGTATGAAAGTTTACAAAATAAAGAAGGTTCATATACACTTGAGTCTGTAAACAAGATAACACAAGTGTACCAAGTGATTATTAACTTTGTTGTTTTATAAATTTGTATGAGTTTGGAGTATCTGTTGCCCATTACATGTGCAAATAAATGTGGCTTAGATTTGTGTGACTGCTTAAGACTAGTACTTGTATTAACTTTTTGATGCTTTATACAAGAGAGCACTTTTGAGTTCATAATTTAACATTGACTATATAGCTTTAGGTTTGACTTTAAACATTCATTATGCCTTCCTTTGACAAGTAAATGGTAATAAAATGTCCACAGGCATTTCCAGCATTGTATAAATGTAAGTGAACAGGTTAAAGGAAAGAACTCTAAAATATCCTTTCTTGGAGTACTAAATAAGCAGTAAATGAACAAAACTCCAAATGTGGGGCTAGCTTGCTACCCCTGCATCCCTGGGCCAGTTTTATACAAGAATAGCTTCATTGGGGATTTTAATACTCTCCAGCAGTAAGTAGCTCCCCCTTATCTGTGAGGGGATGTGTCCCAAGGCTCCCAGTGGATGCCTGGAAACATGGGTGGTATCAAACCCTATATATACTGTGGTTTTATCCTAGGGCAGTGGTCGGCAAACTCAGTCAACAGAGTCAAATATCAACAGTACAACGATCGAAACTTATTTTGAGAGCCACATTTTTTAAACTTAAACTGTATAGGTAGGTACATTGTTACTAATTAGGGTACTCCTAAGCTGGCCTTTGCTAAAAATGTCCTCAATCTGATTGAGGTACATTCACTGAGGTTGACCCCTTCCAACTCTCCCATCCACACTCGTCTTGTATACTTATTTCATCTATCCTTTGTCACCGTTGCGTCGTGGTATTTTGTGGAAGAGCCACACTCAAGGGGCCAAAGAGCCGCCGCATGTGGCTCGTGAACCGTGGTTTTCCGACCACTGCCCTAGGGAAACAAAAAGTTAGGCATGTTAAGAAATTACCAGTAATACAAAAAACAATATAATAAAAGGTTATATGAATGTGATGACTAGTTTCAGGGTATCCTTTGCCATTTAATACTCTTGAACTCAATTGCAGGTAACACCGGGGCGGGGGGGGGGGGCGCTACTGTACAAATTTTTTCTTGTGCCAGGATGAGGAAAAGATAACCACTTAAAAGGGATGACAAACTTCATTGGCCAGTGTGGCTCAGTTTGGGCATCCATCCCATACACCAAAAGGTTGCCTGTTCAATTCCTAGTCAGGGCAGCCTATCACTTTTCCCATCATTGTTTCTCCCTGTCCCTTCCCTCAATAAAGTCATTTAAAAGAAGGTTTAAAGTCCTTATTTTATGAATAAATAATTTTATGTAATAAGATCCTTTGTATAAGTTAAATTTTGTTCACTTGTGTTTTTCTGCAAAATTTGAACAATTTTCATGGTACTTATAGAAAAGACTAGTTTTGGCTTTAAGCGCAGTTGCCAGTGGTGGTGATGGTATAAGGCATGGGGGAGAAACGTTTTGCTAATGTATATAGAAGTAATTCTAATTTTACTTGTGCATTTATAAATTGGAAACTTTCATTTTTGTAATTGAGTTTGTTTTTATTTCCAATTAATGCTTTCTCTGTAGAAGTGAAATTTTATGGAATTCAGAGAACTATAATATACTTACAAATAAAGATCAGATATAAGTAATGTTAGAACATAAAAGTAGGAACAGTTTACTGTTGAGGGAGGCAGGGATATTAGAGGTTATAAATTAGTGTTTATGATAAGTTTAGAAGCTGAAGAGGAACAGGATTAATGAGTAAGGACAAATTAGTTTGGAGCTCAGTAAATTAGCAAGCATCTAATTTGGTGTTTAGAAAACATCTTATTTACCCTTAAGATGCAAGGTTTGTACTGCCACAGAAATTAGAAGATTCTTTAGTCTTCAGTGAACTGTCCAATCCAGGGCTCATCTGTGTACTGTTTCTAGAACTGGTAACCATACGTATACTTTAGAAATTTGGACTAAGCAAGTCAAAATAAGTTGAACAAACTTATAAGTTAAAAAATTGGCAAATTTAAAAGGAAAGGTGTTAGTGATAACATGGTACAGCAATAATGGGTCAGTGCTGTCAGAATAAGTCAGAAGTTTTTAGC